GACGACATGGGGCAGAAAGGCAGGGATTGGAGGACCTAGTTTTTGAGGGAAAATGACTGTCCCTCCCACATTCTGGTTTTATTTCCCAACTGTTTCTCCCCCACACCTTGTGTGTGTGTATTTCTTTTATTGGAACAGAAGGTCCGCATGCCGTACAGTCCAATGGCTTGAATGTATTAGGAGGAGTTGAGCATGCCATCATCACCACACACAAACACACACAAAAAGAAGAAGAAGAAGAAGAAGAAGAAGAAGAAGAAGAAGAAGAAGAAGAAGAAGAAGAAGAAGAAGAAGAAGAAGAAGGAATGGAAATAGAACGGGACAGAAAAGAACAAAGTGGTTGCACGTGTGCTTGTGAAACTTTTGTTTGCTGTGTATGCATGGATGTGTGCACATGTTGGGCCACTATGGGGACTGTGCTTCTTTCTTTCGGTTCTGGTGTATTATTTGAAATAAGAGACTGGAAGTTACTGGTGGAATGAAACAATCCTGTTTCAAATAAAATCATAGGAGCCAACCAGAGCTGAGTGTGAACTGATTTTTCCAGTGTCTTGGGAGCAACCCAGGCCGCCTGGCTCCCAGGATCCTTCTCTCTAAGCGCTAGTGATGAAAGTGCACCTCCGGGAGGAGTGTCACCTTGCACGATAGTTTTTCTACCACCTGGCAACTGGCATTCTCTTCAGAAGAACTTCCTGTCTTTCTCCAGCCCTCCGGCCGCCCTCAGGCCATTCGAGATCAGTGAGTAGTCTGTTGGATGGGGCAGGCAGATGGAGAGTCAGATATTCAGACCTCAGCTTCGATGATCCATGACTGGCGGGTAGCTCAGAAGATGTAAAATCCCACAGCTCACTGCTCTCTGGGCTCATGAGCCACACAAGACAGAGGTCAGAACCTCGCTGTGAAAAAGGAGGTACCAATGAAAACAGGAGGTGCCATTGACGACTCATCTAGAGTATACACTCAGAAACAAGACAACCCGTTGAAGAATGTAATTCCCACCAGACTCACGCACTCTGGCTGGCCGTCCAGAGCCAAAACAGAAGCATGTGGAATATGAGCTATGACTGCAGAGAAATGGGATTATGAAAGAGGAGTCTGCCCAGAACTCAAGGTGCCTCTGGGCTTGACTTAAGAGAGTGGTCTGCTCCGCCAGTAAACAAACATTACACTGACTGCACTCATGATGTGTCAGAAACAGGTCTGAGAATAGGACAATATTTACTCGTTGAATCCACAGAATGAATTGGGAGGATTGTTCTTCTTGCAAAGATTCACCACTTTTTGACACTTTCCAGAAGTGGTGAGAGATTTGCAATGAGCCATCTACTCCCCCGTACACGCCCCCCACACCTTTCTTTTAAAACTTGCTCTCTTACCTTTGTAGCCTAGCTGCCTGGGAGTCCCTGACTGCCGTGGCTGTCACCTGTGAAGGTTGGTGATGCTGGTCCACACAGAGGTACCTTGAAGAAAGATCTGGCAATCTACTTCCCCCCAAATCAGTCCTTGAAAATCCCGCGGAAAACCTACTGACACACATTGGGTCTCCACACATTGACGTTGACTTCATGGCCCCCGTTTCCATTTATGGGTTTTTATAGCCACCTTGGGGTGGGGGATCTGTTCCATCACTGAAATTGTGCCACTCGGAACCATGTGGAGAGCCACCTGTGATGGGAGTCCTCAACAAGAGGATGACTTACCTTTTACTGAAGCTTTCTTTACCTTAGCATCTGCGAAGTTTGGCTTTGATGCTGAAGACAGGGAGTTTACTTAAGGGTATCAAGACGAGTTTTTGAGAGCTACAGGGAAACGAGGCTGCTTCTTTCGTTGTTTTTGAGGTCCCTGGTGTGTGCCTGACAAGGAGCCCTGGTGGTCGTTCAACCGGCCCCTCGGTGGCGGAAGGATGAGGCAGTCTGCTTCCGCAATGACTGCAGCCTCAGCAATCCTCTGGGGGCAGTTCCACCCTGTCCCAGAGTGATGCAGGGGGGTCAGCATCAACTCCCTGACATTTGAGTCTTAGGCACTCGGAGCCCTGGCAGGACAGTGGTTAAGTGCTCCGCTGCTACTGCAGAGGTTGGTGGTTCCTAGCCGGCATCCGGTCCTCAGGAGACAGATGCAGCAGGCTGCTTCCGTAAAAATTCAAGCCGTGGAAACTGGGGGTGTAGTTGATGATCTGTCCTAGGGGGTCCCTGTGAGTCAGAATCAACTTGACAGCAGTGGGCTTTGGATGATATGCCTCCATGCCGCACAGTTCCATTACATTTCACAGGCGAGGGCACCAAGTTCAACGACTTAGCGGAGGTAGGTTAGGTGGGGGACAAACCAAGTCTGTCTGCAGAACCCATTACTTTTTCCACCACATCTCATTGCAGACTGCAAGGTTTTTTGTTCTCTCTCTTTCCTCTTCATCTGAAAAATGATTTGGCTCGAGCAACACTAGCTGACCATGGCAACACTTAATTGATCTTTCCCTGCCACCGTTGCCCAGTTATCCATGAAGAAGAGCAGACAGTGAAAACCCGGTCTCTGTAATTAAGTCTTGGTTCCCTTAACAACTCCACCATGTAATTAAACCTACTTCTCCAAACAGGCAGACATGGCTCCCTAAGGAATCTGAGAGAGGCTCCTTACACCGCTGTGTTCACCAGGATCAAGTCTGGACTTGAACCTGAAGTTGAGAAGGAATGTAGAGAATGCCGCCGGTCCAGAATCACCAGGGCTGAACTGTAGGGAGTCAGGGTGGGGAACTGACTTAGCGCTGCTCATTGTTGTCCTCAACGTCAACATGCCTGGTAACCCTGCAGCTTGCTGGACCTGTGTCCTTTTCTCGGGGCTGTCCCCATGGATCCGGTCATTTCTTCCAGAGGCATTCATCCCCAGAAATGGCAAATGTTTTTCTTTGAAAGGCCGAGTTATCAGGGGTCTTACACTCCACAGTATTTTGCAACAAGATCTGCCATGGTTAGTACATTTGGGGGACTGTGTTGTGAAACATTTGGCTTACACCACAAATTATCAGTTGCTTTTTTTCTTTTCCCAGTTGAATTAAGGGTTGGCTTAGCATAGGCATTGAAAGTTTAGGGTAGCATGAAATGGTTAAATTTTACACGCTGTTGTAATGAAGGATGGGAAGGGGGACACAAGGAGGTTCAGTGTCTCTTCATGAGCCTATAAAACCCTGGGTTTATAAATGTAAGTGAAATGAAAAGGGATTAAAGTGGTAACCAAAGGTTGCTTTGAGTTAAAGGTCATTCAATAAAGAAGATAATAGGGAAGATTTCTTGGGCCCAGGCACCAAATAAAAGGCCAAAATAACACACCAATGGGCTGTCAGTTGACTCAACCCCCTTGCCCACCTGGTTCTAAAAAGGAATTGAGAAAATCCCAAAATGCTTTCTGTTTGAAGTTCCCAGGAAGGGAGAGTTCAAATGTCACACACAAAGAGCAGCCCGTTTTTCTGATCTCACAATGGTTACTGAGTTCAGTGCCCAGAAGACAGACGTACAGCAATCATTCCACCTCTTCAGTAAGCTATCCAGATGTCCAAGATGATCTCGTGGACACAATGGAATTTATGCCAGGAGATTAAGGAGCAGAATTAATTTATGACTACTCTCTACCTGTTTGCAATATGTGCTCCACTTATGATCTGCACACACTGCACCGCACGGTAATTACAATGCTGAAAATAATGTGTAGCACGTGACCGCTGTAGTTAAGTTTAAAAAGGGGGCACTTGTCATTTTTTAGTCTGTACATCTGGCTCTATATTTTCCAAATGATCACTATAGAAACATACTATAGTGAATTCCTATTATATAAAACTTTTGCCAGGAAATAGAACACTCTCCCCACCCCGCCCTTCCCATCTGCTCTTTCCACAACACCCCCCCACCCCCACCCCGGCTTTGCGCTGAAATTTCCAGCCCTACAATGCCTATGACTGATGGCAGGGAACCTGTCTTTGTTCAGTTGTCTAAATTCCGGAGCCACACCTGGGATGGAAAGCACCCTTTGTTTTCAAGGCAGACCCAAGAGAACCTTAAAGCTTCTTGTTAATAGGTGGGGGGCATGTGGTATGCCCCCAAGTTGAAAGCACAGGGATGTGATTCTAAATTTTAAACGTCTTTTATTGAAATATAAGTTTTAGTATATTTACACCACCCTTTATGCACATATATACATAGAAGGCAAATTTTGTCAAATAAAAAAGTTTTCCCCCTTAATAAAAAATTAAAATAAAATCAAAGTAAAGTGCATGAAATTAATTTTTTCTTCTTCTAGTGAACAAAATCATTGTCAATCTTTTGGTCGGTTGTGAGGGGGGTGGGTGGGGGAGGAAGGCTGTCATTATTTTGGCTCAGTGCATCCAGCTGGTCTTGCACCAAGTGGCCTTCAGGCCCAAATGACAAGGGGGATGGGAGGGGTCAGGCAGAGGTCAGGGTCAGCAGGGTTCCCCAGGGACTGGAGGTCCTGCTCTCTTTGTCCTATCGGAGTCCTAGTTTCCCCAGCTCTTAACAGTGATCTCACCATCATGATGCTGGAACAAAGAAAGAACACAGGAATGGGCTCCACCAACCGATGTCACAGCCCGACTCCCGGGCCACCAGCTCAGCATTTGGTGGGAAATTGCAGAATTAGCTCAGCGGCTCAAACGGAAATTTTCCTTTTTTGGGAGAGGGCTGACTGGGCTCAGGACTGGGACAGAGACAGCCATGTCCGGGCAAAAAAACTCCGTCTCCGGTTCCTTGGGATCACAAACTCTGTGTTAGCACAGGAAGGAATCCTTGCAGAGGCTGCTGGGTGGAGGGAATGTTAAGACTTCTCGCCTTGGTGAGTTCGTTTTCGCAGAACTTTCAAAGGTAACGACGTGGTTTTGAGAGAAACGGGCAGGTGGACGAACTTCAAGTTTTGCAGGCGCCCCCACACTCGGGCCACTAACTGGGCGTTGGCTCGCTGGTCCCAGGAGCTGATGGCCCCATCCCCCATCCCCCATCCCCAAGGCCAGTCTCTTTCTCCCTCTCTCTCCCTCTGGTGATGCTAAGTCCCCTGCCGGTGGCCGTACTTGGCCTTACAGTGCAAAATGTGCTTGGCGAGGAAGTCAAGGCGGCGCTGCAGCAGCTGAGCGTGGGGGTCGGCGAGCGCCGCCAGCTCCGGGAAGCCGGGCTCCTGGCGCCGGTAGAGGCGCAGCAGCCGGGCCGCCGCGTCCTGGCCGCGGTGCAGCTCCAAGACGCGCCGCGCAGTCCGCTCCCGGAACACGCACACGGATTGCAAAAGGGGCTCGTTGTATTTGTCCCACATGCCCGCCACCCGGTAGCCATGCACCAAACCGGCCTCGTTGTCCAGAAAGACCAGCGCCCCGCCGGGGCCTCGGTGCAGGTTGCTGGTGGCGCGCTGCATGACGCGCGGGTCCCACTGCAGGCTGAAAAGGTTGCTGACAAGCCGGTCGAAGTTGGCCGTCAGGTAATCAAAGAGGATCAAGTCGGTCCATTGCACCAGGTCCACCAACTCCGCCCGGCTTCGATTGGCCAGCTCGCCCCCCGCGGCGCGCAGGGGCCGCAGACGACCGTCCTCCGAGCGCCAGGGCGCGGGCACTACCACGTCCGTGAGGTTGGGCAGCCAGCGCGTCAGGCTCACCACGCTGCCCTCGGTCCAGTGGGCTGCGCGCAGCTCCTCCTGCACCTGCGCCCACTGAGCCACCCGAGCCTCCACCCGGGCCAAGGCCAGCGGCGGCACGTGGCGCTGGAGGCCCAGCAGGCACGCCAGGTAGTAGGACAGGGCCTCGCCCTGGATCTGCTCAGGGTTGATGCCATAGCGCACGCAGGCGCGGGTGCCGTCGGCGAAGCGGGCCAGCCGGTTGGAACTCCGCCCGCAGCCTCCGCGCTCCAGGGCCACGACCCGGGCGCCGCGCGCCGCCTCCAGCCACACCGCCGCCTGGGCCTCCGAGAAGCCCCGCGGCACCTGTTCCTCCAGGCCGCGGCTCCAGAAGACGCCCCCGGGCACCACGGCGC